CCCCAAAACCCCAAAACCCCAAAACCCCAAAACCCCGTTTTGACGGATCTTTATTGATTTTTATGATGATTGAATTATTTCAAAACATTCGTATAAAATCGTCTGTAAAGCTTGTTGGCTTAGTCTATATTACTCAATTAACTCTCCCTACCATCCCAACCCCCAACTCCCATTCTCTAAACCTTTCTCTCTCATACCTAATCCTCCGAAATCTCCTGATCAAACCATGCTGTAACTTCTGATACAATCTTATCGGAGGGTATCAAACTCTCTCCTCTACACATAACCCTTATACCTACCCATCCAGTACCAAATCTCCAGCTTCAGTGTACTTCTTAACAAGCACTCCTTTAACCGTGGACTTCTTGATTGACTACAGCTAAGACCGCTTCTTACTTTTTGATCTTAGTAGTTTAATGTGTCTATTCTTTCTGAAGGTTAGGAAGGAATTACCCAAAATAAACAGTCTTTTGGTAACTTCTTTAGTTGGCGTGGTATCAGTTTCAGTAATAGTGGCAGTACTATTCTTTGCTAACTGTAGGAAGCAATTAGCTTTGATGAGCTTGTCTGTAATGCGCTTAAACTTGGACTTAGTGCCAGTTGGCTTTCTTTCAATTTTGTTGTTATGATCTAAAGATAAATAAGATACTAGTATTTTTAGATCGAAATAATTACGAGAAGAAATTATGCTTCAAAATGTTTTAGACAGAAAACAGTAAGAACAATTATTGAAATGGTAGGTTTGTGATGGCTGAACTTGTATCCTACTCCAATCCTGCCCTTCCATATCATCGATCCATTTCACATGATTTTCAATTCATTCAAATACTCCAGTATCACATCATCCTCCTTCTTCCTCAAATTCTTCTTTTCTCTAACATTCTCCTACCTTATCTATCCTCTTTCCTCCACATAACTCTTCCTTACTAATCACCTCACTCTTTATCTCCACAGTCCCCACTGGTGTTTCTGTTCTTAACTTCCTTGTAAGTACAGTCCCTATTCCTCCCAAATTCCCTACTAAAATTCTTCCGTAACCCCTCTTCCACTCAGCTCAACCTCACTCATTCCTCAAGCCAGGTTTGGCTTGGCCAAACCTGGCTTGAGGAAGATGAGGAACTGCGGATTTTGAGTAGGGGGCAGGAGAGGATACGACTGAGTGGAATTCTGTACGGGTGAGGGATTTTGTGGTGGTTGAGAAGAGAGGTGAGGGAGAGGATTTTTGAGTTGAGAGTGGTGATTTGGGTGGTGAGAGTGTGGATTTTGGAGTGGAGTTGGGGTATTTCGGTGGTGTGGGAAGGGGTTAGAGGAATGGGTGGGGATTGGAGGGGAGAAGGGGTTGGTTTGGAGCGGTGAAGTTGTTAGTGGCTAGAATGCACGGTAAGCTGTTTGATGGGGGTTTTTAGGTGTTTTTGTTATTGAAAATATTTCTTAAAACATTGATTTTTAAACTTAATTAAAATTATAATTCTAAATTAACCGCTTTAATGATTACTCAAGTTATTTTTAACATTTTTAGGAATATAAACAAGTTTTATTGACCAATACTTCACTTAAACAAAAAATACCAACCCGGGGTTTTGGGGTTTTGGGGTTTTGGGG